GCAGTAGACAACTACGAAAGCCCGTTTGTGCCACCAGTGAATTAAAATTTAAGAACCGTTACTGTCTCTTATACACATCTAGATGTGTATAAGAGACAGTATTAAGACCAAAAGGTGTGGTGGTTTTAAATAAAAGTTCCCAGTTATTTTTTTTTTACCCTTACAATTTTTCGGGCTCCTATTGGCAGGTCTATTGGAATAACTCGGACATTTGTAATTATAAACTGTAGATTTTTATTTACACTTAGTTAAATGGATTTCTGTTATATAGTATTTATGTCTAATTTAACTAAAGTTAACACATATTGTTTCACTTTTCTGTTTTAGATGGATAAACTTTCGAATTCAACGACTTCTGATCAAGGAGTGTCTAACTGGTTACACAATGAAACTGACTTAGACGTGTGTACTCGTGTAGAGGAATACGGAATAAACTACTACTTGTATTCCAGACTTGATCGTTTATTTCTTTTTTGTTTCCTGCCAATTGTTGTTGTTATCGGTGTTATTGGTAACATTTTTATAATAGTTCTGATCTTAAAAGAAAAGAAGCTTCGATCATCACCAAATATGTATTTACTAGCTCTTGCTGTTTCAGACATAATCTACCTCCTGTCAGAAAATATACGTGGCTGGCTCCAGTACTCTACCAGTTCACTGCAAGCCGACTCATCAGGTGTAGGCTTAAGATTATCGAAGCTCTTGCTATTCACTCGAAGCTCAAGCATATTGTCATCGTGTTTTATCATGATAGCCGTAAGCTTCGACCGATACTTCTGCATTTGTAAACCAATGAGGTCTCTAACAACTACAAAGAAAACAACGATAAAAATATGCATCGCTATATGGGTGGTAACCGCTCTGTACAACATTCGAATATTTTTCAGCGCAGTTCTGGTCCCTGAATGCTTAGTGTGGCCTGCTGAAGAAGAATACGTCAGCTATCCAAAAACTATATCGCATCTTTTTTCATGTGAACCGAAAAAACAATTTTGTGTTATAGCATTCGTCACAGAGCAGTTATTGGTCTTAATCGTCATCCCCGTGACGATTACTCTCTACATTCTTATGGTCATAGAATTGCGACGGGTTGGTCGAAACAGGATTTCACAGAGATCAGCACGAGTAGCCCTAAAAACAAAGAAGCGTACGATAAAAATGTTAATGACGATTGTGGTCATCTATGCGTTTTGTATTGCTCCTTTTCGGTTACTCAACCTTATTGAAGAGTTGCCGAACGTCAAAATACCGGGTGATATTCTATGGATTATATATTATGTAAGTCGACTGTCAGCAAATTTAAATAGTGCTGTGAATCCAATCGTCTACGGTTTAATTAGCCAGCAGTTTAGAAAAGCAATGAAAACCTGCTGCCGGCCATATAATTGTTCTAAACCAGGTCTGAAAAGAGGATAGATTGATATGTGTAGAATAATTTGCTATGAATTATTTGTTGGAATGAATTGTTAGAAGATGAGCTGCTTTGTAAGAATATGATGTATGAATTAAATTTAATTGGGTAAGTGAATTACAACAAAATATATAAATTTACCAGAAATAGTTAAAATGTTAAACTCAAGTCATCGTTAACATATAGACCATGCCAAGATTAATTCTGTTGTAAGCGTTCGATATCTGGCAGATAAGTAAAATTGTTAACAGAGAATAATGTATGTACAAACGGATTTCCAATCCAATCCAAATCTTTGACTTATAAGGCGAAGTTTATTATACAAGCCTCAATCCGCCAATTTGAGGTAGTGCTCAAGAAAAAAAGGAACGAAGGGAGAAAACGGAAAACAAGGGAAAAAGCAGAAAGCAGGAAAAAAAGAACGAAAGAAAAAAAAAACCCCTAAAACAGAAGCGAAAGACAAAAATATAATATTGAGCTGAAAAGATGACTTTTAGGCCTCATTTTGAAAATCTTTTATAGGCGGCCATTACGAGCGCCCTTCCGCTTCCAAAATGTTTGCCTTCAGTGCAGCGATCATTCGATAGCTGGCGGCGCTTAAATTGGCTTGCCGCCCATTCCCATGTCACCTCAAGTATGCCCGTAGTTCGGTAGTCACAAGTCCTCCGTTATTGTAACTAAACTTTTATAAAAGAAATGCTTGTGTCTTCATTGTGCTATTTATTCATTTTAACACTGTATAGGCCTGTATTTAAAACCCTGTTCCTCAAAGTGTTTCATTACAGGCAGGGTAATAAGTATACTCTCGATTAAGCGCGTTTATTTATTTAAATAGCCATAATTGTGTAAATCAAGGAATCTGTGACAGTGTAAAAAACTGCCTTTCTAATAATATTAATACAATTATTAGGGTAACTTAACAAAATTCTTTAATTCACCTTGCTTCGTGGTTAATTCTGGATGCGTGTTTGTGTTTCGATCTTTTTAATTGTGCACTTTTTATGTACTTTTTTACATAGTTTATGTATTTTTCTTATTTTTTTTATATCGTTGAATAAATTGGATTGAATTATTATTTCCAACCGTTTTAGCCCAGCCCACCCGGCTGTTATTCTGTCGTGTGAGTGGGTAACCACATGCGTTTTCTACGAATGCTCTCGAATAACATACAATGTTGACTGCTATCATCATACTTGGAATATTTAAGTTAATTTGGCAGAACTTCTGTTTGTGGATTTACTATGTACAACCTATCAGTAGTATTTTAACCATTCTGAATTCTGTCTCTTATACACATATAGATGTGTATAAGAGACAGAATTTAAGCTCCAGAGAAAAGATTAGCATAGCTCTCAACGAATGTTGTCCTATAAATACATTGTGTAATAAATGTAATAAAATGCATCCGACGGATGCTGTCACATTAGAATTAAATCTCATAATGGGGTGAGACTGTCACCCAACTAGTCTACCAAAAGCAAGGACATTTTCGAAATAAACAATTAGTCAGTTAAGGAATGGGCCACACAAACCCACAGCATCTAGAAAACCCAGATCTGAAATAAGTACTAATTAGAATACTATACCTTAAGTGGACGAGGCCAGGGGAAGCTTAAAACACTTAGAGAGGTCCACAGAAAGATTTTAGTTAAAACTTCTATCTATAAATACTAATATGGTTAAAAGTTTTTTAGACACTCAAGAATTTTAGTCTCTTCATTTCAAAGGCAGGAGGAAATTACTAGTGGAGTTGCTTAGGTTCAAAGCGAGGCTGATATTGCACTTTGTGACAAAAGAACTAAACTTGGCAGAAACCTTCTTTGGGGTCCAATTAACAATCTTAGAATGGGTGCAAAAATCCGAACAATTTAATGACGTCATTTAGGCCACGCCCATTTTTATATATAGGCCTACGGTACCATATAAATATGTAAAAATAAAGGGTTCATAATATCAAGTTTGATATCAAATTGAAGCTCATGAAAAGGATATTGACGCAAATACGTTCAAAATGTATTGTGAGGTGTATATTGGTCATTAAGGTCATTTAGACCGCGCCCTTTTTCTCTATCATTTCATCATTGTTAAAACCGTTAGTTAGGCACACTTATTTACAACAACTTACACCCGTGTATGTAAATTCCATTTATTATTATTATTGTTACTTATCTTAACAGATGACCAACATAATCTCGCTGTAAGCGTATTCAGAAACTTTAGACAGTTAAATAGAGAGCGTGATATTCAAGTACAATTGTTTGTTCAAAAGAGCGTTTTCCTACGGAAGCCCGTTAGTGCCACCAGTGAATTAAAATTTAAGAACCGTTAAGTGGCGGCCGCCACTTATTATCTGGCGGCCGCCACTTAGTAAGTCCGTTAGTGCCACAGGTGAATTAAAATTTCAGATCCGTTATTTGGCGGCCGCCACAAATTTTCTAGCGGCAGCCACTTAAACTCGGTATAGCCTCAAACTATACTTAGCCTTAGCATTAAGTATCATTTACAGGGGTGGAGCCGGGGGGGCCGGCGGAGGGGGGGGGGGCTTCGGGGACAAAAAGCACAATTCGTCGGGGAGAAAAAAATATTATATGTATTTTTTACATATTAGTAGACTCTAAAATCGATTAAATAAGCCTTTGAAACCCCTAAATTGTCGAAATTTTCGGGCGCTTCGCCCCCCGGGACCACTTTCGGAGCCTTTTAATCGAAGCTCGACCACGCCCACTTTGCTTTCGTCGGGGAAATCTGACACCTCGTCGGGGGCACCGCCAGCAGTTTACCATTTACCATTGAAGGCTTTTGCGCCGATAGGTTAGGCACGTCAGCAGATTACGTTGAACAGACGTTTGCAACGATACGCGTTAGGGTTAGCACGTCACCTGTTTACCATTGAATAGGCGTTTGCGGACGACGATAGGAATTAGGGTTAAGCACGTCAGGGTTTGCGCCGATAGATTTTAGGGTTATTTGTGGATTAAGGTTGGAGCACGTCAGCAGTTTACCATTGAATAGACGTTTGTGACGATAACAAATAGGAAAAATAACAAATTCAATTGCAAATGACCGGTGAAAATGCCTATTCATTAGCGACATCCTACTGGCGACTTCTGAAATTCTTATTAATCCTAATTCCTATTCATTAATGCAATGGCTAGCACGAACACCCGGATTATCGGACATGATAAAATTCTAAAATGGCTGACATGCTTATCCCAACGCCTATCGTCGCAAACGCCTAAGACATTCTTTTAATCGCTATTTAATGCTTCTTAGTGATGTTATAATTTGTGAAATGGGTGCTATGACTGCTATTATAAGCTACAGCTATTGTATAAAACCTACGAACATGCTTTTAACCGCTATTTAATACTTAACCATGTGATAGCTAATCTTTTTTGAAATGGGTGCTGCATGACTGCCATGCTAGTATGCTTTCAATCACTATTTAATACCCCTTAATATTTAACCCAGCTATAACAGAAAATATCACAATGATTAAACAGCAAATATAGAACATATAATACAGTTGATGTGCTACAGCAAAGATATAGATATATTTTGTGAATGGCTCTAATATAACTGCTATTATAAGCTATTACAAGCTGTAGCTAAAATGACCAGCTAGGCCTACTACGATGCTTATACATGCTACCGTATTTAATGCTAGGAACAATCCAGATAATAATTGGCAGCCGCCACATAATGGATCTGAAATTTTAATTCACTGGTGGCACAAATGGGCTTCCTAAGTGGCGGCCGCCAGATAATAAGTGGTGGCCGCCAGATAATTATGTTGCGGCCGCCACTTAACGGTTCTTAAATTTTAATTCACTGGTGGTGGCACTAACGGGCTTCCGTATTTTCCCAATTCAGGTATAAAGCTTCAGTTTCAATTGGTAAGGAGTATTTACAGAGTCCAAACAGTGCAACAGCTCATCAGACACTCCGCTCGACGACATGATTCTTCCCTCTGCAAATATTGGAAGATGTGGGAGGCCTTGTCACGGACTAATGCTCATCGATACGTTTATAAATGTCGGCTAGTTTCGCCAATATACGCAGAATTACATCCGGCACATACAAATTTATAGACAACACGGAAACAAAACAAGTCAGGGACAGGATCTTAATTGTACAATAACAATGTACACATTTTTACAATACTGTCTAGATAACATTTAATTGTATGTTGAACGTGGATGGATGATACCAAAAAACGGAAATTAGTTGTAATACACAGGTTCAGTCACCACCAAAGGGGATAGACAGTGTCGTAGCTAGGGGGTCAAGGGGGTGGGCAAGTGCCCCGGGCGCCAGGTTTGGGGGGGTGGGGGGAGTGCGGCGCTGAAATGGGATAATAAGGGTAAAAAAATAACCACTTTTTAGAAAAGCATAAAGAAATTGATGTATGTCGTCAGGCATGAATATTTTCCAGTTAATAATAAAAATCTGAATGTACGGTAGTTGTTTTTAATTGGCAAATTTATAGATTGTGATTTCTTTTCAGTCCATTTCGACCGTTTTCTCTTTTTTTTCTTATCCTATTCTGTATTCTGACTACATGACTAAAGGTCAACCTGCATGCCATATCTCAGATACATGTGAGACTATCTGCTTTGGCACTCCATAGTATTGAGCGCGATGAAGCAGACAACATTGCTATATTTCATCATGTTATTAACTACGGTAATTTGCAGATGCAAAAGCACGCAAAATGCAGTTGCGAGTTTAAACAATGTTACAAATTCAGCAACTTAAAAGACAATAAAGAATACTAAGCTATGCGATCAACAGCCTTACAAATTAGGATAATGGTAAAGTTGTATACAAAGTTCCAAACATCTTAATGCAGTTTCAGTATAGGAAATAGGAGTGGGGCGACCGGGGGCGTGCCAGCCCCTTCGGGGATTGCTCCCCGACCTCACCCCAGTCAGGGAGAAAAACCATAATTCGTCAACCACCCACCTTCCATATTAAAAAAAACACATACCAGAGGGTATTAACAAGAGACTATCCGAAATACTAAACGACACTACTAAAAAACCTACCAAGAAGCTCTTAAGATGTATTTGTTGTCTGCTGCTATACACAGATATATATAAGGAATTAAGTCACTTAAGTTAAGTGACTTAACTTTACTAGAATAACGGTAAATTAACTTGCTTAACGGTAAAGTCGGCTCGGATTACAAGGACACGATTACGTAACATAGGCATCTAAGCCAGCGTGTTGTTGTATTGTACCACCATTATCATCTTCTGGCTGACAACAACGTACTTTAACAATGCTAACAACAGCATCGAAGTAGTCTCATTAGTCTGTTTTTTAGAAATTATTTGTAATAATATGGGTAAAAACCCAGCAAACGTCCGTTTTACGAATAGTCGAAATAACTAATGACCTTTGCCCTTTGCATCATCGACCAAGTAATAACGTTAAAAAGTCCGATTGCGTACGTTTTTCAAAGTGATAATGTATATTTTTCTTAATAATAAAATCAGATTTGTTGTATTTATTTATTGACAATTCAATCTTTTCCATTTCTGCTTTTAATAGTCGCTAATAATTCAATTTCAACGAATTACCACCAACGCCAGTCGTTAAAATGAGCGCACATGTTTCCGATGACCAAATAAAAAAGTGTGTGGAAGTCGGCAACTTATTTGACACCGCGAAGCTAGATTTTCGCGAAGTGCA